CATTTGCAGTCAAATAAAAAAAAATATTGCAAATAAAAGGCAAGAAATAAGTCTGAATAAAAAAGCAAAATGTGCATGTTTATTTCAACTATCCTTAAACACTTTTACCAGCTTTAATGATGAAAAACACAGAAATACACATGGAAGCAATACTTCCAATTCCAGCTGCAATGTACTGTATATAAAATTGTGATTATGACAATATCTCAAATACATGAACCTTGAACAGATGTTGCAACCAAATGCATTAAGGTGCATAAGTTCATGGTTAAATATTTTATTGTATCATAGTTTTACATTATATTGCTGAACTTTTTTTAATATTTACACATTTCAAGTTCAAAATTCTTTACAATGTGCAAGTGCATCAGCTTGACTTTATGCTGCAACAAACAAACAAAAGAAGTCTTAGGATTCTGTTCCACAATCTGAGGTTTGTTTCGTGAAATGCAACAAATTTATCAGCACCAAAACCTCTCAAAATGGTTCAAACCGAAGCCTCTTCATTAGTGTTTTTTCTTCCGTTGACTAGGACTTTCCACCTGTTTCCAAAGTCTCATACTACGTGAAATTTCTTCCTCATAAACCGCATCTTCACATCTTCTGTCTTAATTGGCAGCACGGCCAGGGGAAGCGAGCTGATTGGTTCTGCATCGGACTGCAGGAGGGCGTGGCAGTGCTCGAGAGCAGCTGATTGGCTGACACACACCCGTTTCTGGAGAGTCCCTGAGTGATTGGCTGAGGAGGTTGCCGCGGCATTACCGATCCTCTGCTGTCTTCTCATTGGTCGCCTGCTCTTCCCTCTTTCGCCTGCTGAAGAATCCAAGCTGCGGATGAAAGAAAAACAGTGATTTGTTTCGAATCAAATAGCAGAAGCGTCCGGAGAGATTTGACCTTAAACAAACCCTAAAATACGTGTTTGTTATGTAAATGTAGGTTTTGATATGCAAATTTAGCTCTACTTAATCTAGTGTAAAAGAGCGTCAAGCATATGGACAGAATTTAAGCTTGGCTCTGGATAAAAAGGGATTTCAGTTGATAATTCAGCCAAACATAATGCAAGTTTGTTAGCCTAACAGCCAAATATCAGTGTTATTTTAATATTATTTACATGCAATTATAGCATTTATTTATATTTTGAATTCGATTTTATTTTCAGTTAATTTTAGCTTCATTAATTTGTTATATGCTGTTGTCGTTTTTATTATTGTAGTTTTTTTTGTAGTTTTTTTCGTTTTAGTCATTTTAGTACTTCGACTTATTTCAGTTATTTGCCAAGGCAACATTTGTAATCTTAGTACATTACATTTGAGTAATTCTATTATAATTCTATATTTTGATAGTTTTATTTTATTTTTTATATTTTCACTTTTCATTTGTTTTTATTTAAGTTTTAGCAATTTTAGTATTTCAACTTAAACTTGTTTTATTTCAGTTATTTGCCAAGGCAACATTTGTAATTTTAGTACATTAGTTACGTTTTAGTAATTCTATTATAATTCTATATTTTGATAGTTTTATTATTTTTTTTTTATATATATATTTTAACTTTTCATTTGTTTTTATTTAAGTTTTAGCAATTTTTGTATTTCAACTTAAACTTATTTTATTTCAGTTATTTGCCAAGGCAACATTTGTAATTTTAGTACATTAGTTACGTTTTAGTAATTCTATTATAATTCTGTTTTGATAGTTTTATTTTTTATTTTTTTTTTAATATATTTTCACGTTTCATTTGTTTTTATTTAAGTTTTAGCAATTTTAGTATTTCAACTTAAACTTATTTTATTTCAGTTATTTGCCAAGGCAACATTTGTAATTTAGTACATTAGTTACGTTTTAGTAATTCTATTATAATTCTGTTTTGATAGTTTTATTTTTTATTTTTTTTTTTATATATTTTCACGTTTCATTTGTTTTTATTTAAGTTTTAGCAATTTTAGTATTTCAACTTAAACTTATTTTATTTCAGTTATTTGCCAAGGCAACATTTTAATTTTAGTACATTAGTTACGTTTTAGTAATTCTATTATAATTCTATATTTTGAGTTTTATTTTATTTTATTTTTTATATTTTCACTTTTCATTTGTTTTTATTTAAGTTTTAGCAATTTTAGTATTTCAACTTAAACTTATTTTATTTCAGTTATTTGCCAAGGCAACATTTCTAATTTTTATTCATTGTTTTTCATCTAATATTTATTAACTATTTGTAACTATGAGCAGTAATAATAGTGATGTTTGAATACTTGACCTATATTAGATGTGAAGCTTTTAAATAAAGGTAAATCTGAGAACAACAGGCGAAAGTCTCCGCTTTCTCTTCATCTCACTGCTGTCTAGGAGAAACAATTGAGAGATCTTTCCAGGCCCAACAATTAGTTTAGGTTCAAGTAATTTTGTTATGTGCATTTGTATTTTTATTAAAAGTATTTGTATTTGCTTTAATTTATTTTGATTTCAGTTTTAGTGATTTTAGTACTTAAACTTGTTTTATTTCAGTTATTTGCCAAGGCAACATTTGTAATCTTAGTACATTACATTTGAGTAATTCTATTATAATTCTATATTTTGATAGTTTTATTATTTTTTTTTTATATATATATTTTAACTTTTCATTTGTTTTTATTTAAGTTTTAGCAATTTTTGTATTTCAACTTAAACTTATTTTATTTCAGTTATTTGCCAAGGCAACATTTTAATTTTAGTACATTAGTTACGTTTTAGTAATTCTATTATAATTCTGTTTTGATAGTTTTATTTTTTATTTTTTTTTTAATATATTTTCACGTTTCATTTGTTTTTATTTAAGTTTTAGCAATTTTTGTATTTCAACTTAAACTTATTTTATTTCAGTTATTTGCCAAGGCAACATTTTAATTTTAGTACATTAGTTACGTTTTAGTAATTCTATTATAATTCTGTTTTGATAGTTTTATTTTTTATTTTTTTTTTAATATATTTTCACGTTTCATTTGTTTTTATTTAAGTTTTAGCAATTTTAGTATTTCAACTTAAACTTATTTTATTTCAGTTATTTGCCAAGGCAACATTTGTAATTTTAGTACATTAGTTACGTTTTAGTAATTCTATTATAATTCTATATTTTGATAGTTTTATTTTATTTTTTATATTTTCACTTTTCATTTGTTTTTATTTAAGTTTTAGCAATTTTAGTATTTCAACTTAAACTTATTTTATTTCAGTTATTTGCCAAGGCAACATTTCAATTTTTTTTTTTTTTAAGTTTGAGCTTTTCATTTCATTTTTATACAAGTAATATTTATTTTATTTGAGCTTCATTTCAATTACAGAAAACAAAGTTTCATAGTTTTATTATTAGTTAACAATAACAACATTGCCAAATATTAGCATATTAAAGTGCGTCATTTTTTGGATTTTAAACCACTTTATTGTGCTGTATGCATTTTAATACGCAGATAAACTATAAGCAAGCCATTCGTAGGTAGATTCACCCTGAATGAAACCAGAATTAGTCCAAAATGAGGCCATCTCCTTTTTTTGACACCCAAATGAAGTGTATTTACAAATGCACTACAGTAATATAAGTCTATATTAATACATACGTTCATATTAGCTTGGTAACTGTAAATAAAAACCGTCTCAGACCTTCCAGAGGGCCAGTACAAGCAGGGCCAGAAGCTGCAGTCCTCCCAATGTGCTCCCAACAATCACCCAGATGGGAATCCGGTAATCTTCCTCCTTCCTAATCTCCAGGATTATCTACAGAACCAAAATCCAAAAGCTTAAAAAGTCAAATTCTTGGAAGAATCGGGTATACAAGATCAGGCCTCATATGCAAACCTGCACAAATGAATGTTAGAAGATGTGTGTGTGTGTGATTAAGTTGACTAACACTGTATTTTTGCACCAGTTATCAAGTAAAAAAGACTGATTTATCCATAAGGGGGCAGCACATCACTTGAGTTATTTTGGTTCTCAGACGAATTTGTTCCTTTTTCACATTTAATTTCTGTAAGCAACTGGTCTTTCTTTCTCATTACACCGGTGCATGTCACACTAGCTTCTACTTCCAGCACAAGCAAAAGTAATAAAGGAACTCAGATGCATAATTTCATTTCATATCCATGAAGTGTCTCATGTACAGCATTCTGGAGGTACTCACGTGTCTCATGGGTCGTTCCTCGTGGAGGAACATCGGACTTGAGGGGCTCAACTCAACTACAGCCGTCATTACCAGATCTAACCGTTTCAATTTCACCTGAGGAATGAGATGAAGAGGTTTATTAATCGCATCTCTGCAAATAAACAGCTCATAACAATTTAAAATCCTCTACGATATGTCATGCACCAACTTTCCGTTTCAATAGGAAATTAGCACAAAAGCTTGCTTTGGGAAAATTGACATGCATAGTTAGAGGAAAAGTAGATGCATTTAATAATATATGCATCCCTTTAAACAATTGGTTAACAAGTAGATAACGTGGAACGTATAATAATAATGATAATAACCAAACAATAATGTGAACAAATGCCTGATGTGAGAAATTACTATTATTTTACAAGAACAGATACTAGACTGATAAATGTAATTTTTTTTGTTAATTTATTATTATTATTATTATTATTATTATTATTATTATTATTTTTAAAGTATAATTTGTGTGTTTGTGTATATATATATAATACAATAAAAAATTGCACATATATTTTTTTATTATATTATTTATTATATATACTGGGGAGGAAAAGTTCTGTATGGTTCGGTATTTTTGTTGTTGTTGTTCCATTGGATAATACAATAAAATTTAATAAAAATATAACTGAAAAAAGAAAGAAAAACCTTTATACAATTTTTTTAAATGTTAGGTAAAGTGGCATGTAAAATCATGATGACTGTGAACAAATTCCTTATGTGAAAAATTATTATAACAGATACTGTACTGATAAATATAACTAATTTATTTTCCTGTTAATTTCCTTTTTTCCCTTTTTAGTGTATTATATATATACAGTATATATATATATGCGTGTGTGTGTGTGTTTATATATATATATATATATGCGTGTGTGTGTGTGTGTGTGTGTGTGTTTGTGTGTATATGTGTGTGTGTATGTATATATATGTGTGTGTGTGTGTGTGTGTGTATATGTGTATATACACGTGTGTGTGTGTGTGTGTATATATATATATAGTATATATTTATACGTATATACACGTGTGTGTGTGTGTGTGTGTGTGTGTGTATATACATATATATTTACAGTCAATATAACAAAAAAAAATAATAAAACAGTAAAACAACCAATGAAAAGAATACAACAAAAATATAGATGAAGTAAATAATACTTAAAAATATTTCAGAATAATACAATTAAATAAAATTAAATAAAAGTTCATAAGTTTAAATAAAAAAGTTCCAGGTATACATTTGAAAAAAAAAAATACAGATGAAAAATAAAGACGATATTTTAAACTGTATTAACATTTCACAGTATTGCTGTTTTTACTGTATTTTGGTCAAATAAACAGCATTGGTGAGAAGAGACTTCCTTCAAAAACCTGACTGTAAATCTTTCAAAATTAATGTACAGTAACACCAAAAATCATAATCACCAAATGTATTTACCAAAAAAAAGTAGCATTTGCACTATGACAAACGCCTATACTGACGACCCTAGACATCTCTTAAAAAGTGACAAGTATAAAAGCAATTAGTTACTTGAAAAGTCTCTGGTACAGCATCAAATCAGAACACAAGACAAACGGCGTGATCTAGAGAAGCGAGATCTCCGGAGAACGACCCGACCGTCTCTTATCGCTCCGCATTGGCTTTAATCGCGCGAGCGGTTCTTCAAGAAGTAATCAAACTGAAGTTCATGCTCATTCTTGATCTGAAGCTGATGAGTGATTTTCTGGAGCTGTATTTGTGAGCATGGCGTCATAAATCACGGCTGATTCATGCTGGAGGTATGCAGACAGCTAACAGTAAATCAAAAGCCATCTGCCCACGGGACGGCCATCGCAGCCGCGGCACCCAGTCATCTGTCATGTCAGCGCTGCCGCCGATTTACATTTATTTACATTTAGCGCACAGCGCCTCATTACGCACAGGAAGTGAAGAGGGAAACGGCGTGAGCGGAGAACACAAATACTCATTTATAAACAACTAACTTTTGAAGGAGAAATCAGGACGGGAACGACACAAACTTCAGCTTTACATCTGAAGAAGAAAGAGGACAGATAAACCTGAAGGGCTTTCTTTCATGTTTACTTATAGCTATTTTATCTTCAAGTGAATATTGACCTATTTTTCATATAAATTATACATACTTACACATCTGATTAATAGGACAGTGTTATTTTAGTATTGCTTTACTACTATAGTTTATACTACTGTAATTATAGTTTTGCTAATATTATAATTACATTTTTGTTATATTTTCTTAATTTTAGTTACAGTTTTAGTAATTCAGTTGTGCGTTTTGTCATTTTTATTGATATTTTTAAATGACTATATAGTTTGTATTAAGTTACAGTTTTAGTGTATTTACTTAGTTATTTTAGTTCTGTAACTTAATCTACATGAGAATGAGAAATAACTGAATTAAGTTTTTTATTATTAATATGTAGTTTGTATTAAGTTTCAGTTTTTAGCTTTTAGTTTTAGTGGACTAGTTATTTTTTTGTGGATTAGTGGATTAGTTGTATTCTTTTTTTTTAATAATTTTAATTTCAGTTCATTTTTGTTTTATTTAAAGAAATTAATGTTTTCCATTTTAAAATACATCTAAGTTTAAATTTGAATAAGTTTTCAAAGTTTTAGGTTATTTATTTTTAGTTATTTTAATACTTTGGCTTAAATGATAGAAAATGAGAAATGTTGTCTGAAAGAAATAAACAAAAATAAATAAATACATTTTAAATAAGATAAACTAAAAATATGAAAATAAAAGTAAAATATATATATATAAAATAAATATTTAAAAAAATAATTAAAAATAAAATACAAAATATAAAATAAAATAAAAATAAAATAAAAAGTTGAAAGGTAGTATAGTAAACAAAAAAAAAAACATCTAAAATACCTAAAATAATTGGTCATGCATTCAGGATGTTGTATCTCGTCAAACATGTTTTTCCTCAGATCTGCTGATACAGGCCATCGTGATGGTCACAGACATAAAATTTGGCTCTTTACACATTCAAAGAAAAAGTCGCTCAGCCACCAGTTATTGCCTAGAAGGGATCTGAAACTTTAAAGACACTGACAAACTCACTCAATAGACGCTTTTTCATGCATCTCGCTGTAGTCAGCCGATACTGAGATCTTTACAGCCCTGAACAGTCCACACCATTAACACACCATTAAACAGTGCTGAAGGGATTTTCCTCGCTGTGGTTTGAAATTAAACACGTTTGATGTGACGTACTGTACTGTACTCTACTCTACTCTACTCCGTACTCTATCAACTCAAAAGATCCTCTCTGGTTCAGCGACAATAAACCATCTTGATGTTTTGACACTGACATCAGACGATCACAGCAGAAGTCATCTAGACAAACGTTTTAAAGGAACAGTAACACAAAAGCATTTAATTTGTGTGTTTGTGTATATATATATAATACAATAAAAAATTGCACATATATTTTTTTATTATATTATTTATTATATATACTGGGGAGGAAAAGTTCTGTATGGTTCGGTATTTTTGTTGTTGTTGTTCCATTGGATAATACAATAAAATTTAATAAAAATATAACTGAAAAAAGAAAGAAAAACCTTTATACAATTTTTTTAAATGTTAGGTAAAGTGGCATGTAAAATCATGATGACTGTGAACAAATTCCTTATGTGAAAAATTATTATAACAGATACTGTACTGATAAATATAACTAATTTATTTTCCTGTTAATTTCCTTTTTTCCCTTTTTAGTGTATTATATATATACAGTATATATATATATGCGTGTGTGTGTGTGTTTATATATATATATATATATGCGTGTGTGTGTGTGTGTGTGTGTGTGTTTGTG